GTCCCACCTGACCTCCCATGCTCCACCACCCCGTCCCACCTGACCTCCCATGCTCCACCACCCCGTCCCACCTGACCTCCCATGCTCCACCACCCCGTCCCACCTGACCTCCCATACTCCACCACCCCGTCCCACCTGACCTCCCATGCTCCACCACCCCGTCCCACCTGACCTCCCATGCTCCACCACCCCGTCCCACCTGACCTCCCATGCTCCACCACCTCGTCCCAATTTCAGACTATGAAATATGCAGTTAGGAGCGTACCAGCTTTCTAATCTGACTAGTTGGTTGACTATATATATCCTGTAGACTGTCACCACTGTTCCCTGGACGTCCCCCAGTCTCCGGTTATGTTTCCTTAGAACTGTTTGGTGTTCCTGTGAACGAAGAGCGGTTTGTGATAAAGGAATGCCTGAAGAAATAACTGATCCTGTTAGCTGGATGGGTGATGTGATTCTTCTATGACAAGTTGTAAGTCATTCACTAGGACAGGCAGTATGTCGCAGTGAATTTGAAGATTGACCCTTATTAGGATACGTTTTGAACATTTCCTCTCTATACAATTTAACGTACCATGGTCAGAATTTTTCAGATCCCATAAATCACAATAATTTGTGATTAGGAAACTAACTGACTTATTTCCCCTCCTTCCTTGTCTCAATCTCCCTCCTCCTTATATACAAGGAAGTCACAATAATGTGATATTTCTGTGAGAAAATCATTTGACCAGGACGGGGATCGAACCAGCGTCCTGGGTAACCCCAGACACGGTCCTGCTCCAGTGATATTTCTCTCCTTCCTATTCTTCCCTTCTTTCCCTCCTTTTTTTGTCTTATCTTTCTCCTTCTTATTGATCAGGGGCATAAAATCCACTTACAAGATGTCTTTCGACTTTAAGTTCTCTGATGTCCTCAAACAAGCTGACCGACGTGACCTTAATGGGAGAACATGATCTGCATGTTTGTCAGTAAATTACAGTAGTCTATATGACTAATAGATTTAACTTAAGAGCTGGCTAATATGTCTCTTGTTAAAAATAATTACAACACATTTAGCAGGGTTGTAGGAGAGGTTATACCTGGCATTGTATCTTTCACACATTACAACACAGTTAATTTGTCCGTAGTATCTTTGGTAAATGTTATTAGAATTATAGATCATCGGCAAAAAATATATCTTCAGTATTTCCTACACGACATCTAGCGCTACTTAATATTATCTTGTATCAAAGAACCATTAAGGTAGCCAGCAAACAACACAGCGCCTGGCTTGACCCCGGTAACCACTCTAGGACACTCCAGGAAGGATATTATTCCATTTCACAGTGACTGTAGACCAGGTAGAGCAAATGTGGATATCTAACAAGTACTGGTTATGCGCTTGTGTTTGGCAGCTGTAAAACAGCTTAGTGTTCAACGTAGCACGTGCTTAGGAAGCACTGAGAGGCACTGTTAGAGCTGCACTGTGTGGGACTGTATAGCTTCCTTAAATATTCTGTTTTGTATGCAAATTACACGTAAATTTGTCCCACGTTATCATCTATGGCGGTCAGAGCGACACTGAGTCCAGCCAGCCAGATCCATAGATCTGGGGGCACCGTCTTTACCTGTCAAACTTATTCAATTTATTTAGTTACTTTTAAGATTTCTTCTTTTGTTTCCAGTTAATCAGTGAGGACATCACAGCATGAATTGAAGTAACCATCGGTGTGGTCAATCCTTATCCCCTGGCGCTGTGCCTGGACGCTGCCGGGAGACTAAAATAGATCTCCCTCCATCCACCACCTGTTTCACACCAGCCACGGACGCCACTAGGCTTCCATCACTTCACACCATACAAACCACAGTCTGTCATGTAGGGTTATATTACCCTCGCTGTTTCAGATCACACACAAGCCATGGAGTATCATACTGGGTTATATTCTCGCCTTGTTCCCAATCACATCCAATATGAACTAGGGTGTTTGTTTCAGAGCACACAGTCATGGGTAATTATACATGACAGTATTCTTGTTTCAGAGCACACAGTCATGGGTAATTATACATGACAGTATTCTTGTTTCAGAGCACACAATCATGGGGTAATTATAAAGGATTATATTGATTTTTCACGCCACACGGTCATAGGTAATTATATAGGGATGCAGTCATATTTCAACCTGTCCTTAGGGAGGAGGTACCCGGGGCGTAATCACTTCAAAACAGCTATGTAATTAGTGCTATTATCTGCTCCATATCCATGGTTAAATTAGGTTAAGGTTACGTTGGGTTAGGTTAGGTTAGGTTTGGTTACGTTAATATGATGTATTATTCTCAAACATGTGAAATATGAAATTCGAAAACTATTTGAAAATCCCCTAGAATGCCCTTTACAAAACCATATTCTTCAGACCATTTCAAAGAAAACGAGTTAGGCATAGACCTTTTATAATTTAAACCAACTATTTATAATACAATAAAGTTAGAACTTAAGGATATGCTGTGTTTAGGACAAAGGATCACTTGCCAGTTTACAAGTAGACTATTATTATTATTGGTACTGCAATATCCTTTCAGACCATCACAAATATCTAAATAGCTATCCAGTTGGTGTGTGAATGGGTTTGGTGTCTTGTGGTAATCACTTTACCCTGAGGGGAGGTACATTTCAGGCCACACCAGCCATGAACGATCACATTGGTTTACACTTCCTCTTGTTACGCCACCCAGCAGTAAATAGGTCCCCAGGAGTTACTCAGCTCGTTATGGGGTTGCATCCTGTGGAGGAGATAATACAAGAGTTGGACCTGGGGGGGGGGGACCTCGATATAAGCCTAACATATATATGTACATACACTGGCTGCCTGTCTCCCGACACAATAGATTATTATTATGAATTATTTCCAACCATCGTATGTATACATGTATGGCAAAAACTGGCACTCAAGAAGGCTCAGACGGCACTTGCCTCAACACTTCCTGTGACTTTTGTGGGCCAATGGGAAAGGATGAAATCGGGGTTAATTTTGATTGGTTGAGAGCTGGAAATCCTATCAACGCGCCTTGAAGTAATATTTTAGAATTTGTCTGCGTGATTGGTGAGTGAGGATCATTTGTTTTCAAACTGCCATGGAGGAAGCACGCTCAGTCCAACGCTCTGTTGCTCACAGCCGAGGTCACTTTTAATGATGGTACGCAGGCCTGCACAGTAACAGCCCTTGTAGTACTGGGGTTACCACGAGTAACGTAAGGCAGCAGTACTTGGGCCACCAAGAGTGTCTCAGTGGCTTGCAAGGTCTCAGGTAGGAAACCGAGAGAGAGAGAGAGAGAGAGAGAGAGAGAGAGAGAGAGAGAGAGAGAGAGAGAGAGAGAGAGAGAGAGAGAGAGAGGTGAGAGAGAGAGAGAGAGAGAGAGATCAGGTAGAAAAAGGATGACCATGATCCAGCCTCCTTAAATGGACAAGACAGGTCATGAAGAATGACCAGCGCCCATGAAGTGAGCCTGGGAGAGACGCCTGGTAATGCTCATGTCCTACCGGGTAATTATTCACTCACGCCGCCGTGTGACCTACATTATAAGTATATTTCTGAGTACAGCCAATATCTCATGGCCGGAAATAACTGGCAAAGTTGCCGATGCTGCCGTGACCTGGCAGCAAGGGCGGAAGGAAGGCCGGGGAGAATGAGGAAGACAGGTAGGAACATCTTGCCATAGGGATCCATAGGTCTGATGTTTAGTCATGCTTTGTACTCACATAGTTGTACTTCCGGGGGGGGGGGGTTGAACCTTGGCTCTTTGGTCCCGCCAAATTATTCATTGACTCATTATGTCGATAATTAATACTTCATTGTGTCGCGGGACAGGCAGCCAGTATGCATACAGTACATGTTAAGCTTATATCGAGGTCCTCCCCCCCCCCCACACATTCGAATTACTGACCCTTTCCAAGATGCAGCCCCACAACAAGCTGACTAACTCCTGGATACCTATTTACTGCTAGGTGGACAGGGGCATTAGGTGATAGGAAACGTGCCCAACCATTTCTGTCCCGCCCGGGATTCGAATCCCGAATTCTCAATTGTGGGTAGAGAGCAAACCCAACTGTACTACCAGGACTGGTGTAATACTGGGACTAATCTGCTGGTGTACAGATTCACGAGCCTACTGGGCTCTTTTCATATCTACATTTGAATCTGTATATGGAGTCTGCCGCCACCACATCACTGCCTAATGCATTCCATTTAATAGCTACTCTGACACTGAAAAGTTATTTCTAGTGTCTCTGTGGCTCATTAGGGTACTGAGTTTCCACCTGTGTCCCCTTGTACGAGTGCCATCCGTGTTAAACAGTTTATCTATCTACCCTGTCAATTTCCGCCTGATAATTTTGTATGTGGTGATCATGTCTCTCCGGAAGGCACTAAAGGGCTCACAATAGCCCGTGCTACTTGGAACTTTGTTCCAGGTAGCGAATCTTTAACAGCAATAACAAGTCTCTCCGGACTCTTCTGTCGTCCAGTGACGGGAAGTGTTTGTGTATGGTATTTGTGGTGACGCATGTTGGCAGTGTATTGTGACAACAGTGTACTGTTGGACTGGGCGGTGTGGTATGGGTGGGGGCAACGGGGCGGTGTTGTGTTTGTTTCAGGGCGGGTAATTTTGGGGTGGGCGGAGGTGCAGTGTAGTGATGAGTGAGCGGCGAGGGTGGTGTTGTGTGGGCGGGGGCGGGGCAGGCCGAGGTGGGCGGCGAGGCGAGGCAAGAGGAGGTGGGCGGCGGGGCGGGGCAGGGCGGGGTGAGAGGGGCCGCCAGTAAAGGTTCAGTCAGCCACCGTCACCCACCGCACACAGGCGTCCGGGAGCTCTTGCCAACCACTGCTGAGTTACGTTCATCTGTGCCACTGTGGTAAGTGTGGAAGGAGTGTTTGTGGGTAGTGACGGAGGGTGGGCGTGGAGGCGAGCCGTGGGGGTGCCACAAGAGTGCCAACCATCACCAAACAACGACATACGGAGGAGGCGACGCTGCCTGTATCAGACACCCCAGCAGTGTTGTCAACGCCGCGCCCACCACGCTCCTCGGGGAGAACACCTGCGGCGTCACTCTCTCCTTAGTCGTACCCTGGCGTCAGCAGGTGTTTGTTGAGCTCCAGACTCGTGTGGGACATTGTATTCTCGACACGTGTTATGTATTGAATGGCGAGACTTGGAGAGACGAGTGTCAGTGGATTGTAGTGGCGGGGGTGGCCGCCGGGGGCCAGGCTGGGAGCCAGGCCGGGAGCCAGGCCAGGAGCCAGGCCGGGGGCCAGGCTAGGAGTCAGGCCGGGAGCCAGGCCGGGGGCCAGGCTGGGAGCCAGGCCGGGAGCCAGGCCAGGAGCCAGGCCGGGGGCCAGGCTGGGAGCCAGGCCGGGGGCCAGGCCAGGAGCCAGGCCGGGGGCCAGGCTAGGAGTCAGGCCGGGAGCCAGACCGTCATAGGCGGTTATATAGAAAAAACGATCTAAGAGTTAAATGATAAAACCAAGGAATATATTCACGGAGAGATGTCCTCGCTTCTCGGCGTGTATACACTAAGAAGCGACTTTAGGCGCAGGTGGGGCGGCCAACCACAGGGAAATAGCAAAATCAGTCAAATACAGGCGATTGAAAGGTCAATACACCTTTGTTCCCATAGCGTCTGAGACGCATGGGCCCCTGGGGCAAGAGTGCCTTGAGATTTCTCAAGGAATTGGGCTCCAAGCTCATTGGCGCCACCCTGAACCCAAGAGCTGCCAGTCTTTTGTTTCAGCGCCTCAGTGTGGCGATCCAGAGGGGAAACGCCTGCTGGATCCTCGGTTCCCGTCCTGAAGCGGAGGGGCTTCTAGAGATGCATAACCTTTAAGCACTCATTGTATCAACCAATGTATATCTTGTAACCTTTATATATATATATATATATATATATATATATATATATATATATATATATATATATATATATATATATATATATATATATATATATATATATATATATATATATATATATATATATATATATATATATATATATATATATATATATTACATTTTCAAAGACTTCACAAATACACAACTGATTAGAACTAGCGTTTCCCTGATTTTATATCTACATTTGAGTGAGGTGGGAAGGGTGATGTGGCATTACATTTGAGTGAGGTGGGAAGGGTGATGTGGCATTAACACAAGACAGAACACTAGAGGATATTAATATCCTCTAGTGTTCTGTCTTGTGTTAATGCCACATCACCCTTCCCACCTCACTCAAATGTAATGCCACATCACCCTTCCCACCTCACTCAAATGTAGATATAAAATCAGGGAAACGCTAGTTCTAATCAGTTATATATATATATATATATATATATATAACTGAAAACTCACACCCCAGAAGTGACTCGAACCCATACTCCCAGAAGCAACGCAACTGGTATGTACAAGACGCCTTAATCCACTTGACCATCACGACCGGACATAATGAGGTGATAGCCGAGGCTATATGAACCACCCCACCGCCGGCACTCGGATAGTTATCTTGGGCATAGCATTTTACCAAATCACCTCATTCTTTGGGGCACACGTGAGGAACACAAATGCGAACAAGCCTGAATGGTCCCCAGGACATATGCAACTGAAAACTCACACCCCAGAAGTGACTCGAACCCATACTCCCAGAAGCAACGCAACTGGTATGTACAAGACGCCTTAATCCACTTGACCATCACGACCGGACATAATGAGGTGATAGCCGAGGCTATATGAACCACCCCACCGCCGGCACTCGGATAGTTATCTTGGGCATAGCATTTTACCAAATCACCTCATTCTTTGGGGCACACGTGAGGAACACAAATGCGAACAAGCCTGAATGGTCCCCAGGACATATGCAACTGAAAACTCACACCCCAGAAGTGACTCGAACCCATACTCCCAGAAGCAACGCAACTGGTATGTACAAGACGCCTTAATCCACTTGACCATCACGACCGGACATAATGAGGTGATAGCCGAGGCTATATGAACCACCCCACCGCCGGCACTCGGATAGTTATCTTGGGCATAGCATTTTACCAAATCACCTCATTCTTTGGGGCACACGTGAGGAACACAAATGCGAACAAGCCTGAATGGTCCCCAGGACATATGCAACTGAAAACTCACACCCCAGAAGTGACTCGAACCCATACTCCCAGAAGCAACGCAACTGGTATGTACAAGACGCCTTAATCCACTTGACCATCACGACCGGACATAATGAGGTGATAGCCGAGGCTATATGAACCACCCCACCGCCGGCACTCGGATAGTTATCTTGGGCATAGCATTTTACCAAATCACCTCATTCTTTGGGGCACACGTGAGGAACACAAATGCGAACAAGCCTGAATGGTCCCCAGGACATATGCAACTGAAAACTCACACCCCAGAAGTGACTCGAACCCATACTCCCAGAAGCAACGCAACTGGTATGTACAAGACGCCTTAATCCACTTGACCATCACGACCGGACAAAATGAGGTGATAGCCGAGGCTATATGAACCACCCCACCGCCGGCACTCGGATAGTTATCTTGGGCATAGCATTTTACCAAATCACCTCATTCTTTGGGGCACACGTGAGGAACACAAATGCGAACAAGCCTGAATGGTCCCCAGGACATATGCAACTGAAAACTCACACCCCAGAAGTGACTCGAACCCATACTCCCAGAAGCAACGCAACTGGTATGTACAAGACGCCTTAATCCACTTGACCATCACGACCGGACATAATGAGGTGATAGCCGAGGCTATATGAACCACCCCACCGCCGGCACTCGGATAGTTATCTTGGGCATAGCATTTTACCAAATCACCTCATTCTTTGGGGCACACGTGAGGAACACAAATGCGAACAAGCCTGAATGGTCCCCAGGACATATGCAACTGAAAACTCACACCCCAGAAGTGACTCGAACCCATACTCCCAGAAGCAACGCAACTGGTATGTACAAGACGCCTTAATCCACTTGACCATCACGACCGGACATAATGAGGTGATAGCCGAGGCTATATGAACCACCCCACCGCCGGCACTCGGATAGTTATCTTGGGCATAGCATTTTACCAAATCACCTCATTCACCTTTTACCAAATCAAATCCACCCCACCACCGAGTGCCGGCGGTGGGGTGGTTCATATAGCCTCGGCTATCACCTCATTATGTCCGGTCGTGATGGTCAAGTGGATTAAGGCGTCTTGTACATACCAGTTGCGTTGCTTCTGGGAGTATGGGTTCGAGTCACTTCTGGGGTGTGAGTTTTCAGTTGCATATGTCCTGGGGACCATTCAGGCTTGTTCGCATTTGTGTTCCTCACGTGTGCCCCAAAGAATGAGGTGATTTGGTAAAATGCTATGCCCAAGATAACTATCCGAGTGCCGGCGGTGGGGTGGTTCATATAGCCTCGGCTATCACCTCATTATGTCCGGTCGTGATGGTCAAGTGGATTAAGGCGTCTTGTACATACCAGTTGCGTTGCTTCTGGGAGTATGGGTTCGAGTCACTTCTGGGGTGTGAGTTTTCAGTTGCATATGTCCTGGGGACCATTCAGGCTTGTTCGCATTTGTGTTCCTCACGTGTGCCCCAAAGAATGAGGTGATTTGGTAAAATGCTATGCCCAAGATAACTATCCGAGTGCCGGCGGTGGGGTGGTTCATATAGCCTCGGCTATCACCTCATTATGTCCGGTCGTGATGGTCAAGTGGATTAAGGCGTCTTGTACATACCAGTTGCGTTGCTTCTGGGAGTATGGGTTCGAGTCACTTCTGGGGTGTGAGTTTTCAGTTGCATATGTCCTGGGGACCATTCAGGCTTGTTCGCATTTGTGTTCCTCACGTGTGCCCCAAAGAATGAGGTGATTTGGTAAAATGCTATGCCCAAGATAACTATCCGAGTGCCGGCGGTGGGGTGGTTCATATAACCTCGGCTATCACCTCATTATGTCCGGTCGTGATGGTCAAGTGGATTAAGGCGTCTTGTACATACCAGTTGCGTTGCTTCTGGGAGTATGGGTTCGAGTCACTTCTGGGGTGTGAGTTTTCAGTTGCATATGTCCTGGGGACCATTCAGGCTTGTTCGCATTTGTGTTCCTCACGTGTGCCCCAAAGAATGAGGTGATTTGGTAAAATGCTATGCCCAAGATAACTATCCGAGTGCCGGCGGTGGGGTGGTTCATATAGCCTCGGCTATCACCTCATTATGTCCGGTCGTGATGGTCAAGTGGATTAAGGCGTCTTGTACATACCAGTTGCGTTGCTTCTGGGAGTATGGGTTCGAGTCACTTCTGGGGTGTGAGTTTTCAGTTGCATATGTCCTGGGGACCATTCAGGCTTGTTCGCATATATATATATATATATATATATATATATATATATATATATATATATATATAACTAGGTGAGTACAAATGACATCACTGTACTGGCCTTTGTTTATGGGCAGTACACTCGAACCAGCCCCCAGACAATGTCGTGCATACTAGTAATATCATGGTGCAGCTGGCTTGCCATATATATATATATATATATATATATATATATATATATATATATATATATATATATATATATATATATATATATATATATATATATATATATATATATATATATATATACACGTATACATATATGTATGTATATATACTCACAACACACCTCACTTGTTCGGACGTATGGCTACAATGACTTTTCCAAGTTGGGGAAATTCGTCGACAACTCTTGGGATTTCCCAAAAAACTGTAAGGTGGTGTGGCCTCGTTAACGCGAGTTCTCCACGAAGCTAAAACAAATCACATACACTAGTTAACATGTATTTCATACTATGGACATTATCGTTCGTCCGACCATCAGGGTAGAGGTGGTCTTGGCCACTGTCAACCAGGTACAGCGTACTGAATGTTAAACGATGCACGTCCGGCTTCGTTATTATCAAAATATTTTTATAGACAAAAAGGTTATGAATAAAGCTTCATTGTGAATCGAGTCTTAGCGAGAAGTTACAACTTGGAGCACATGGAGACAGCAGGAGCCAGTGCGCGGGATAGGAGTGGCAGGATGATGACCTCATGCACAGGCATCATCACCCACAACATCAAACTGAACTTAGAAACTATTAATAAATGGTTGTACATTATAACCGACTG